AAAAAAAAATTTGAAAAAATGGAGGCCAAACTGAAACAAAAATATATGGATGGGATAATTGAGAAGATGAATGAAATTTTTTTCTTTTTATTTATTCATTTTCTTTTTAGTTTTATAATTGATCATTTAAATTCATTTAAAATGGATAATAGTGGATGGACAAATTTTCCCTTCATCATAAATCAATAGAAGTCAACTGATCGATTTAATGGTATAAATAGACGGTAACCAATCGAAGGACGAATCTTGTTAATTACTGAAAAGGTTGGGGTTTAAACTACCCAAAGAAAAGGGTGGGAGTATGTCCCTGCTATGGGCAAAAGTATGGGACAAAAAGTGCAATTTACCCTTCGTTTAAAGAATAATATTGTGAGTACAAGGAAAAAAGCAAAATTGATACAGATTCTTGAATTTCACTCACATGGGAGTGGGCCCCATGTGATTAAATTATTGGCAAAACCCTCCATCCCACCCACTACTGTGTATATTCTGTCTGGTACAGAAATTTGAATCACATGTACCAGAATTCATATACCTAGAGCACGATTCTATTTTAAAAGGTTTGGGGGACCACTTATGCTAATCTATTTACAGACTCCAATTTTAAAGGTTGTGTGACCGACTATTTTGTCCCTGTAGATCAAAATCTATAAAAATAAAGTTAGTCAACAATTAATTTAATCACATGTTTTATTGGATTCACCTTTCTATTGCATATTTCATTAACATCTAATAAAATTTACTAAAAATCTAAAAAATGATGAATTGTGCAAAGTAATTCTATCAATTTTTAGGTTGGCGATCAAGTAGTAAAAAACTTCAAAGGCTGGGGATGAAGCTCAAATTTTCCGAATTAAAATAATCTTTGTTTCTCGTCCCATCTTCCTATTTTATTTATTTATATTTTTTAAATACAATAAAAAATTTAAACATTTGTTTGGGAGCAATTTTTGTGAAATTTTAATCAAAATTGTAGTTGTTATAGTCAAACTGTGGGCCCCACCTGTGAGAGGGAAGCATAAAATTTCGGAGTATTACAGCTCGAGCCTCGACTCAGTTCCACCGAGCCACAAGCCGACGAGCCATTTTGCCATCCTTACATCAATTTCTCCAACAAATTGCATTTTTATTTCCAACTTTGACCAAAGTAGTAGATGTACCCCCATCCTTTTTTCCCCCGATTTTAACTCCCAACCTTTGCGTAATTAGCAAAATTCGTCATTTTGGAGGGCTTCCATCCATTTCAAAAGTTAACTAGGGTTCCTGACTGTTGGGTTGTGTGTCCATATTGTATGTTTTGCTGTGATAAAATAATATTTTATAATAAATAAATTGTGATTTTATTTATTTGTTGCATTCATTTATTATTGATCATGATAATTAAAGTGTTTGTAATTCTTTGTGATAATATAGGTTGGATACTTATGTTGAGAAATACAATATGACACAACTTATATTTTGATCATTTGTTCATAGCCAATGTATAAGGATTGACACCTTATATTGAAAAGTTGTAATGTTAACCCATTCGCTATTCGAATTTGAGATTTGTGCATATCATAGAAATAGTTAGGTAACATTCGTATATTTGGAGTGTATTGAATGGACCACATGTTGAGTTTAATTCTAGAGCATGACCGTGCAAATAATTAAATTCTACTTGAGCACCGTGTATTTCACCTAAATTTCTTAACACGATTATGTATATCTTTTTGTGATTTTAATAGTTTGTTGATTCACCAATATGTGGGATCAATTTTATTGATCAAATATCTCGGTGAGTTATGAATTTGAGAATGAGTGATGTAGAGAACATGAATTTGTGTTGGGAATTGTCGCTCTAAAAAATGGGTAGAGTAATTATTTAAGTTTTTGTTGTTGAACGATTAAAATCTGAGTCTAGTGTTTAGCAACGGCTAAATTTTGACATCTGTGATTAGTTCACTAGACTGTTGAAGAAAATTGTACTTAAGTTAGTGAGACTAATTAAAAGGACAAAACGATCATTTATGCTCGTATCTAATTATCGAATCTCAAATTTGGATAAAATACATATACGACATGTTAGAGGAAAGTATACAAATTTATTAGCTTCTGTGATCTTATATATATCGAGAGTTCAGTCTTTTACTTTTAGTGAAAAAAAGAAAAAACTCATAATTAGATTGTGTGGTCTAGGGTCGAGTTGATATGATCTAATTATTGGAGTTTGGATAATATATGTTCGATCGGGTCCATGTGGTAGCTCTATAAAGTATTAAGACTTAATTATAATTATAATAAAAGTTTTAGGCTTAATTGTAATTATATTAAAGTTTTGTACTTAATTATAATTGTTATAAAAGTCGTAAACTTAATTATAATTGTAATTGAAATTCTATAACTACACATGTAAATAAATATAAATTAATTGGATTTGGACTTTCATTAAAACTCCTACTTGAATTTTAATTAAGACTTCTATTTGAAATTGGAGTTATTATATAAGGATCGGAACTATTTTATCTATATAAATAGAGACTCTGGGGCCATTTTTCCTATGTTTTTGTCTCAATTTTTGAAGTTATTACAAGATGTCATCGAAATATTGCATTCTGAATACTTTTTTGAAATGCTCACGGCCTAGTTTTTTACATGGTTAATGGCGCGCGAAATGGCCAACTGTAGTAAATGTTATGGCTTGTCAAAGTAACCGTTTCAAACTAATATTTCTAAAATTTCGATTATATGCTAATTTTTAAAACTTTTCGATGATCATATGCTAGCCGAATTCACAAATCGCATATGTTATCTCGAAACTTGTTTTGAGAACTATATCATAGGCATATTGAATGGTCCAAATAGAGACCGAAAATAGTCAAAAATGCATCAAACATATGTTTTAAAAAAGGGGTCTAATTGGTCATTTTCATAAAAAATGTCAATAATTATTATTTTTGACATGAAAATTTCTCAATATAATTTATATCATTTTATGTCAAAATTCTCAAAATTTTATATCCGAACAAAATTATACTCCATGTAATTAAATTTTCGGATGTAAAAGTACATGGGGTATGATTTTTTTTTGGAAGTAAATTTTTGAAAATGTAAAATTCCTCATAACTTTTTTGCAAATTTGATTGTGCCCTCATAACTCAAATGTATGCGTCCGCCCTTGGGTGGAATCTAAAAATCCTACAACAACTCATAATATATAATTTCATAGTGTTCAAATGAGAGAGAGAAATTATTTTCTTACTTTATTCAATTGTCTGATCTAAGAATTAGTTTCTTGATTTAATTCAAAGAAGGTGTTTACCCACCGGTGTAATCTCAACTTTGGAGAACACCATAAAAGATTTGGAGGTTTGGAATATCAAGTTCTTAGAATTAAAAAGTTGGAAGCTCGTGATTCGGAATTATTCATCAAATTTAGGTAAATATTCGAATCATTTATTCTTGATATAACATATAAGTGAATATCTAGACGATCTTGTTAGTTGAATTAAGGATTTTAATTTCTGTGTAATTCTACTTCCGCATTCCAATTGACTTCGAATAAAAGGCAACATTGTCCTCCAACTACGAGCCAGTAAAGTAGAATTTAATTGACTAATTAAAGACCATGTTTGATTTGTATAAAAACTATATTTTTAGTATATTATAGAAAAAATTGATGAAATGCGTGATTGAAAAATTGATAAAATTTGGGTATGCCATGAAATGTGTGATTGAAAATGAAATTGAGAAAAAAAAATTGAAAAAATGGAGGCCAAACTGAAACAAAAATATATGGATGGGATAATTGAGAAGATGAATGAAATTTTTTTTCATTTTCTTTTTAGTTTTATAATTGATCATTTAAATTCATTTTTAATGGAGAATAGTGGATGGACAAATTTTCCCTTCACCATAAATCAATAGAAGTCAACTGATCGATTTAATGGTATAAATAGACGGTAACCAATCGAAGGACGAATCTTGTTAATTACTGAAAAGGTTGGGGTTTAAACTACCCAAAGAAAAGGGTGGGAGTATGTCGCTGCTATGGGCAAAAATACGGGACAAAAAGTGCAATTTACCCTTAGTTTAAAGAATAATATTGTGAGTACAAGGAAAAATGCAGAATTGATACAGATTTTTGAATTTCACTCACATGGGGGTGGGCCCCATGTGATTAAAATATTGGCAAAACCTTCCATCCCACCCACTACTGTGTATATTCTGTCTGGCACAGAAATTTGAATCACATGTACCAGAATTCATATACCTATAGCACGGTTCTATTTTAAAAGGTTTGGGGGACCACTTATGTTAATCTATTTACAGACTCCAATTTTAAAGGTTGTGTGACCGACTATTTTGTCCCTGTAGATCAAAATTTATAAAAATAAAGTTAGTCAACAATTAATTTAATCACATGTTTTATTGGATTCACCTTTCTATTGCATATTTCATTAACTTCTAATAAAATTTACTAAAAATCTAAAAAATGATGAATTGTGCAAAGTAATTCTATCAATTTTTAGGTTGGCGATCAAGTAGTAAAAAACATCAAAGGCTGGGGATGAAGCTCAAATTTTCCGAATTAAAATAATCTTTATTTCTCGTCCCATCTTCCTATTTTATTTATTTTTATTTTTTAAACACAATAAAAAATTTAAACATTTAAAACAAAACAAAAAAATGAAGATGGAATTCAAAATTTGCAATAAATTATAAACGGGAAAAAGTTTGAAATGAGAGTGTAGCATAATTCTCCCTCCAAATAAAATAAAAAGAAAAAAAGAGCCGCTCCTTACTTCCCTCCCATATTTCCCCATCATTAAATACCTCAGTTTTCACCAAGAATTCACAGATCCATAAGCAAAAACCCACCCCTTTAAACTTCCAAAATCTCAGAAATCTCTATTGAAAGCCAAACTAAACGCGTGTATATTCACATTATAATTCACGAAGAATTCACAGATCCAGAAGCAAAAACTCACCCCTTTAGACTTCCAAAATCTCTTCTTGCCATGGCTTCTTCTTTTGCAACCGATCGCAATCTGAAACGGCCTGGTGAGGTACACGTCATTGTCGGCCCCATGTTCGCCGGTAAAACCACTGCTCTGCTTCGCCGTGTCAAATCCGAACTCAACTTGGACAGGTTATTCTTCCGTATCTGTCTTCCTAATTTTTATTTGTCAAAAAAAAATCAGTATTAGATCACAAAGTTCCATTTTCTAAGCCCCTACAGGTAGGTTACGATTTAATCTTTAATCGATGTGGCAATTCAGTTCATAGCATAAGATAATTTTGTTTTAAATACTTAGAATTTGATAGAATTCAAGAACGATTAGTGGGATATTTCAACATATGAATTGATGGATGAAAGTAATTGTCACTGTTCTGAAAGAGTAGATGTTAGAATTTCATAATAATTATATATAATCAGTGGGGCAATTTCCCTATTCTGTAATCTAACTTGACGTTTTTGCAAACAATATGTAGAAATGTTGTGATAATAAAGTCAAGCAAGGATGCGCGATATGCAATAGATTCAGTGGTGACTCACGATGGGACGAAGTTCCCTTGCTGGGCATTGCCGGATCTCTCGTCTTTCAAGCAGAAATTTGGTGCCAATGCCTATGACAGAGTATTTTTTACCATACTTGAATACCCTTTTACTTCAAATGTGTATGGTTTTACGATGTATCTAGCAAGTTGTCCTTGATCTATTTTACTCGACAATATCTTATGTCATGTTGAGTTCAATGTCCCTTAACTGTGTTAATAAATTTTGAATCTGGTGTAGTGCTCTCAGTTCCGCATTATTTGAAACCAGTAGAGGACTATGTTTGAATATTTCTGTTCCATAAAATGCTTGTCTTAGCCTCCCGTTTCACTACTGCTTTTTGGGACTAATAGGGTCCAACATGGCCCTATGTTTGTTATCCTACCTTGAGTCCAAAAAAGATTATTCCCTTCGGTGTAGAAGCAGGCCATAGGAAGATCGGAACATGCTAAACAGGAGCATTAGATATGGTTCTGATTTACTTCAAATTCAATGGACAAATGTGTGCTTATGTTATAAATGAAGCTATTGTGAGTGCTTATGCTGGGTTGAGTATAAGGACTAGTGAAAAGGATGTTTCTGGCCTAACCACAGGAGAAGTTTTTACCATACTTTTACTTAACATTGATCCTCTCACGTACTTCCCAAAGTGGTGGAATTCTAGAATTATGTGGAATGAGGCAAAAGGCGGTATAGATTAAAAATATTACTAGTTATTTTCTCTCTTTTTAGTGGAAGTTTGAAGACGGAGACGGTTAAAAATTCAATTGCCATATTTCTGTTTTGCATATTCGGATAATTTTGTTGACTACAAATGGAACATTTAAAGGATTTAATGGTACTAGTGTTCTTTATCTTTGATCAAGTGTAAAAGCCAGTTGCCCTGTTAATTCTTATTAATTTTATTGTGGGCAGCTAGACGTGATTGGTATTGATGAAGCTCAATTCTTTGATGATCTCCATGAATTCTGCTGTGAGGCGGCTGATCTTGACGGGAAAATTCTTGTAGTTGCTGGCCTAGACGGTGATTACATGAGGTAATGATTTGAGCTCTCTTAAAGTAAATGTATTCATTATGTATTGTGATTTAATTGTGCAAATCATCAAAATTTGTAATGTATGGTCACAGGAGGACTTTTGGCTCAGTGCTTGATGTAATTCCTCTTGCTGATACCGTAACAAAGTTGACAGCAAGGTGCGAGTTATGTGGCAAACGGGCATTTTTCACTTTGAGGAAAACAAATGAAATGCAGACAGAACTCATAGGTGGTGCAGATGTTTACATGCCTGTTTGCCGTCAACACTATGTTAATGGACAAGCTGCAATGGAAGTTGCACGAAATGTTGTTGAAGCTCAGAAAATTCCGAATGACTTGACAGTCGAGGCAGCAGCTGCACTAGTTTAGAATACTTTTGGCTTGTCTGCTTACATATTATGCTCTACCTACGCTGTTGAATCAGCCATTATGGTTAAATTTTGAAGTTTTAAATATTTCCTCTGTACCTTCTGGTGTTCTGTAAATATAGTTATATATAATGATCTTTATGAGTTGAAAAACTACTAGATTTGCTTGCAAAGTGCAAACTCTTATGAATTTCATTTTGCTATATGAATTAATAGTGTTAAATTTTGTTATCCGAATCAGTTCTCAAACCCAGATGAGGGTTTTTCCAAGGTTTTTGGATTTAACTTGGTTTTTATAATGATTCCTAGGATTCTTCAGCTTTGCCCAATTCGTTTGCAGAACGGTATAACTGAGGCTTGGACCAAGTTGAAGGCTGGCTGTGACACGACCCGTTCCGAATCACCCTAATGGACTTGATATGTGTCGTGTGTCGATGGTAGAACCAGCTAAGTACCGAACCCACCACCAAGGCAATCTTGACTTGCTTTGACTGTGACGTAATTTTATAAAAATTTGACAGAGTTCCTTCTAAAATGTGGACTAAATCCACCTGAATAAAAATTATTTTTTTTCTCAAATAGGTAATGTAATTTAAAATAGGGTAAACCAACCTTCCAAATACAAACTATTCAATATAAAATGCGGCCAAATCGATACTTACTATGCTTTACAATCAAAAGTCCCCAAATATACCAAAAATCTCAAATATGCAGTGAATCCATGATAAACTTTTCTGGCAAAAGTTACATGTACCTCAAAAGAAATATGAGCTAAATAGACCGACAATGAGTCGTACAATTAATGACAGTGTGTGTGGCTCAACTTGATGGATACACAGGCTTGAAGTCCGCTCAGCTCCGCCAATATCTGATAAGAAAAGGAGTGAGAAAAACTATGAGCTTGTAACTAGTGAGTTGATAGTTTTGAAAATAAATATATTTTCTCCATTTTTGCATATTTCTTGAAAATTCTTACTCTATTTAAACTTTGAGAAATTCAAAAATCTAGTAACACTTTCAAAGCCGAAACATGATCGCGTCATAAAATTCTTTGTCCTTTCTTCTAGATAAGTAATTGATAAGTATAACAAATATATTTAATCTGATATCTATGAAAATCTCAGAAATATTACTGTTGAATTATACTATAATTTGAATCTTTATTCTGAGAACTGAGTAAACTAAATTGTACTATAAGTTCAAATCTTTATCTTAAGAACTGAATGAACTGAATTGTACTATAAGCTGTAATCTTTATTCTGAGAACTTAATAAACTGAATTGTACTATACGCTATAATTTGAAATATGATAAGCTGTATAAATATTGAAAAATCACACCAAAAAGGTACCCGATGAATAGCCTTATTCATGTACAGAGTAATCTCAATGTACAAGGCAAAGCCATTCAAATCAGATAATTCTGTAATTCTGAGATTCTGGTCATAAGCGCAGAGCTATAATCTGGTCATACACTATCGAAACACATTCACAATAGTGCAGAGCGGGTAAAATCACCACAATTGACCATACACTGTGGAAACACATTCACATCAGTGCAGATTGGGTAAAATGACCATATGATGCTCACTGTGGAAACACATTCGCACTAGTGCAAACTGGGGTAAAATCATCTGAGTACTTTCTGGTGGTTTTAAAATAACTCTAAGGCCCTGTTTGTCTACCATTATTGTGATGAAAGTGGTGTAATGAATAGTATTTTTTGGAGAATGTGTGGTTAAAATTAAAAGAAACTTTATCGATTTATGTGTAGAATATTTTATTATTTGAATGTGTGGTAGAGATTGATTACTGTAGAAAATAATGTTTTGAAAAATGGTAGACAAACAGGGGCTAAATATACTGAAATATGTAATATGATTATAACATGCTAGAAAATGATTTCAATGAACTGAATTTAACTTTAAAAGAATTAAGTACTCCCTCCGTCCCAATTATATAGGCTTGTTTGGTTTTTCACACGGATTAAGAAAACTTATTTAATGTCATTGGAAAATTAATTTTTGTCAAGATCTTTCCTAATTTACCCCTATTTAATTTTCAGTGGGTAAAACTAAATTATTGTTGGAATTCATAAAGAATTTGAATTTTCAAGAAGTTTGCATATTAAGTGGGGAAAATTTAATAAGGGTATATTAGTAAAAGAACACAATAAAATATTGTACATTAGGAAACAAGCCTATATATTTGGGACAAGAGAAAAAGGAAACCCAGCCTATATAATTGGGACGGAGGGAGTATAAAATCAACTTGATTCTGAAAATCATGTTGTTTAACCAATTATATGAAATAATTAACTTTCTGATATGATATAAATTTAATAAATATTTATTTTTGAAAATTAAGCTTTCTAAATCAATCATTTGAAATAAAAAATTCTTTTACGACTTGTATGATTTCCTAGAAAAATATGATAACAATTATTTCATATAAGCTTTAGAACTAATATAATTTTATTAAGTGCTTATTTAAAAAAAAATGTAGCTATCCACTCAATGATCTATGGATGGAAATCTGATTAAATTGACGTGCCCTTCCAAGTTACCATGTCATTACCTGAAATAACGGTATACATATAATTACTCAAATCCATTAAATCACTATACTTTCATAAATCACTATATTCTTCATATACAACATCTATACATAATTTAGTTCAATACCTAAACTCAATATTTATCAAATAACTTCATTCAAACATTTTAAAACCTGAAAATCAGATATTTGACAAAAACAGCACCAAAATTCCACAACATTGAATTGTGACCATATTCTATATATTCAAAACAGTCACCGAATCCATTGACAGAAATAGCACTTTTCTGGGCAAAATTACAAAAATAGTGCCATTGCATAACCTTGCTCGAAAATGGCCTAAAATTTCTTAAATCATGGAGAAAATTAAACCTTAAATCCTTAATCAGGTGATTGATATCATATAACTACAACCACTTAAAGATTTGAAGTTATAATTTACAAACCAATTTCATATTCTTTAATTTCAACATGAATCTCCCAATATACACTTCCCATTGCAATAATATTCTTAAATACCCCAAATACATCTTAATAACCTTTAGTTTTTGCTAATATTCAAACACAGGAAATTGTTTCCAAGCCATAAAATAAAATATCATCCTTTAACAAGTAAATATTTTACTTACCTTGAAGAAGGAAGTGAGGAACTAAGGACCCAAGATTGGAAACCCACTTCTTATTTTCCTTCTTTTCTTCTTTCTTTCTTTCTTTCTTTCTTCCCTTCTCTTCTCCATTTCTTACTTCTCTCGCTCTCTCTCGATTCTTCTCCCATTTTTCCAAAAAATAATGAGAAAATGTATAATTTAATTGGATAGCTATTGAATAATTGCAAGTCAAGTCCCCCATATTCATACAATATCGTATTTAGTCATTTCATTTCCCATAATAGAAGCTAAACCCTTGGATTCTTTTATTATATCATTTCTAGCCTTCAAGTACTCGAAATTACAATTTAAGTCCCATGAAAAATCATTTGTTCAACTTAAGTCCTTATTGACTTTGACTTTGACCAAATACTTTTCTTGATTTTGAATATATACTATTGACCTTTGACTAGTATAAAATGGGGTGTAACAGGCTGGTTCAGATTTTAAAACATTGATATGAAAGTTGATTGGTTATTTCCACGCAATGACTTGCGTTGGTTAAAAGGGTGCTATAAATATAGGGCCATTAGATGGCCCCTTGTGATGGCAGCAGGTCTTGAGAATGAACCATGCTACAATATGCCATGGTAAAGGAGATTTATCCTTTGATAATTCCCCCCCACCCCCCACCACCTAGCACAGGGGCTGACTGACTCTCTATATTGGCCCTGTACATATAGCTTTTTTCTAGTTAAAAATTTTGTCATATAGATGAAGTAAAACATTATATTTCGTAATTTTAATTGAATTTCAAAACACAATTAAGTCTATATTTATTTATCATTCTTTTAAAACTCTTTTTTATACTCATTTTTTACCATATATTTACAAAATAAAATATTTTACACATAAACTCAAAACGCTTCTTTACTTTTTCTAACTACACATTCTTCAAAATTCACTATTCAAAATAATGTTTTTCTAAAAGAATGGCCATCAAACAAGGGCTAAAGAAACAAATATAGTTTATTTTCATACATGTATAAGTTTGCCTTTAATTGTTGTGCTACTACTTCGTAATCTTCGAGAACTTCAAAACTGCCATCGTTAGTCACTAAACTTTGAAAATTGATACCCTATCCATCACTATATAAATGACGCTTGCAAAATTGGAAAGATTTGATGGAGTGTCTAACAGTATAGTTGACGTGGCACGTGATTTTGAAAAATATGCCAAATTACAAAGTTGCATCCTAAGTGGACAAGTTGCCTCTAATTTCCCTTTCTCCCTTTCCGACACTTACAATGTTATTTCTAAATAACATTTGGCGTATTTTTTCCAATGACGTGCCACATCAGTCATACTGTTAGACATTTCATTAAATCCTTCCAATTTTGTAATCTTCGTTTACGCGGTGTGGATAAGGTATTAGTTTTAAAGTTCAGCAATCCCATGGAAACTTTACGAAAAGTTTAGTGACCATTTGGAGGAATTAACCTTAATTGTAGTTTATTTTGAATGTATTAGTGAGGTCTATGAATCTAAAGTTTGTTGTTCTTGAACAAAAGAGTCGAAATGGCAATTTTTTATTGTTCTCCGTTGATCTCAACTTTTGCATGAATGTCGTGACCAATAGATCCTGGCTCCACTTAAGTCCACATAGATAAGCTACTATACACTTACACAAATCGTTAGTAGCACGCGAATTTCTCCGATAGTGGGGGAGGCGGTCGCGAGCTCTTCGACGGTCAAATTAGTCAATAGAATGATTATATTTAGGTGTTAGATGATCGGAAGACATGAGCCATGTTAGTGCACTGACACCGAGGGTTTACAAAATAATAGAAACGAGAGAA